TGGTTTGGTCTGCCCACTTTTTACTAAAAGAATGCTTTTAAATGTGCACATATTCCACTACGACTACCACGCAGTGGACTAATTACTCTCTAATGTTAAAAAAATACACGCTTAAGAGATGATGGAACTCCATAATTTCAGAATGGACAGCAGTTTTTCCAATATGTGATATGCTAGGCAATGTTTCACTACTTTTCGCTTCAGCAAGTGGCACCATTCTTGCGTACACACAACAACAATATAGAAATAGTATTACTTTACTATCACTTAAGCCATTGTGAATGTGTAATGAGATATCATATGGATTAACAAGGAGAGATAAGGTAAATTGAACTGGAATGTTCCGCCTTTTCAAATATACAGTATGTGCTAACACTGCTACGAGAACTAAGCGGCACACGATTCCCTTACTACAAATCCATCTTTTCTTGATGAAACACTGGAGGCGTGTACAGAACCGTGGATTCTACCCAGTGCAACATTAGGGAAGTACTAGCACAGCGTACGCACAATTGGTGACGCAGAAATAAAAAAAGGATACATGTCCTTTAGGATCGGGTTCGCTTTCCGCTGCCACCAATGTAGCCCCGCGAGACTTCCATGAAGACGAATGAAGACACAATACTCGGGCAGAATATACGTATTCAGCACAGAGAAGGTGTTTGGGCCACTGGCATGGCCCCAAGGTAACCCCACCCAGTGAGGTACAAAAATGCAAATTCAAAAGCTCAAAAGTGGCGCCCCACCAATACCGAGGGATAAACCACCATCGTATTACAACTAATAAACCGTACACACAAATGGTGACGCGTCCCTGTCTTCTACACGACAGCGATTCCGAACGTCTCCACTACACATTTCATCACAACCACAAGTGTCTTCTGCTCTCCATATGGGTAAAAAATAAGCGTTTGAAGCAATAAAAGAGACCGAAAGGCAGATCCTTAATAATGCCAGTTAGAGTTCTGTTTTAAGGCTCTCATTTATGCCCAAGGTCCAAGCGTCAGAAGTAGGAACATAATACGACAGGTCCAACGAATGCTGTGTCAAGTCCCTAATGACAGCTAGCGGAGGGCAGTGGTGAGGCGAGTAATTGGTGGAGGAGTAGGCTTGTTCTTGGTAGAAAGATGAACATGTAGCAGTGGTTACAGATATATGGGAAGAGTGGGCGGGGAAGAACAGAGGAAAGGGTAGGATGAAATCTCAAGTGGACAGGAATAAGACCCAAATGGAGTGTAAATGGAAGTCAAGACTGAAGAGTAGCAAACATTTACAGCAAAGTTGCTATTAACACTTAGATCCAGAATGAGATTTGGTAGATGCTCCTCAGTCACATCACGTCGTATGTTCTTGCATGTCAACGCCTCAACTGCGTTTCCCTCCTCCACTTCTTCTTCCTTATTTATGCGCGGTCACCAATGCCTTCTTCCAGATACGGTGTCCTTCATAAGAAGGGTGATAATGGGAGAAGTTTATGCTCAGCTAAGGAACATTCTCAATTTATCCACGACATCAGTTACCGCAAACTGTGTAATTGGCGCCATGCTTGAAATCGCGTCCGTTGTTCACTCGACCACTGAGTTGAATGACTACAGTAAACCCTCCTCGGACAATAAGTGGAAGTTTGAAAGGATGGCTAAAAATTATAAAGAGGGTTAGGAGAAAATAAATGCTCCGAAATTAGGGCAATTTTTAACGTAATGAACTCCTCGGTTTAAATTTCAGTCATAGCTGATTCACTATTTTCAGTTCATTTCAAAAAAACGTGGTAAAAAGACCATATG